TAGGATGATGATTGGAGCGACTCATGTCAAGCATCCCAAGAAAAAGTTCCATGAGCGTGATAAAACAGAAAGTGAGCTTGCTACTTTGTCTTTCACTGAAGATTTGGATTCGAGGACGAATCCTTTTCAAGAATGGGAGAATAATAGGAACCAATACACATGGAATCCAGAAAGGGTAAATAGTGGGCTCATCACAAGGCCCATAACGACGACCTTAAAACATCATTGGTGGAAGAAACAACAAAGACCAATAATAAGTCCATTTGATAGAGGAAAATGTTATAGTGACCAATTTCAAGTGATATCATGGATCGAAGACAATGCTTACAAGATTCGAGGTCGAATCATTTTCAAGAAGGGGAGGATGATGCGGCCCAACATATGAAGATCCATTAAGAATACTAATTGGGCCAATCACAAGGCCCAAGTCCAAACAATTAAGGCAACTCTTCATTGGTGATGTTCAAAGATGGTGGAAATCCAAGTCAAGCCCATTTGCAAAATATGAAGAAGAACTCAAGGCTTTAATTCAATAAAATTCTTAAGTCTTTCTTTACACTTGTGTAAGAAACCTTATGGCTAATTGTGGACTCAATTAGTGGCTAGTCGTGGACTCGACTAGCAAATTGATTCGTGGACTCGAATCAATCTTACTTTCTTCAACCTTAGATTTAGGTTCGTGGACTCGTTCTTGAATCGAAGGAAACTAGATCCGACTCTAGTTGATTGAAGATTGCAACATTGAGGTACTTGAAGCTACATGGGATTCTTCCAAGTCTTTGAGGATTCGAGACAAAGGGTTTCTCGTGAGGTCTAAGGTATTTTGATCCATCTCTATCTTTAGTTTTGAGAGCATTCTTGGGACAATATTCCATCTTTATGTGAACCTTGGACTAGGTTCATATCAGGCTTTCATGAGGATGACCTATGTAAGGTATTTGAATACTTGATGACAAATGAGGTTCAGGCGTGAATTTTCAATGCGAAGAATGCAAGTTTGAAGAGGAAATGGATTGAGAAATTTATTTCTTCTACGGATTAAATTATGTATGTCTTTTTTGTTGGTTAACATTCATGTTAAATACAATCAAAATTTATGTTGCATATAATTTGTAATAAAAATTGTTATATTCTACAAACAAAAATAAAAAATATATATATTATTCGGTATATAATAATTAAAATGTTTAAGTATGTCATTCTGATCATTTTCTGGAAAATGAACTAAACACCAAAAGACAATTTTTCATCATTTTTTAGAAAATGAACCAAACACCAAAAGACAGTTTTCCATTGTGCAGCCAAACACGGGAAAGGAAAATGATTTCTGGAAAATGACTCATTTTCCAGAAGTCATTTTCCAGGTTTCCAAACAGACCCTAAAAGTGTCCAAAAATGATAGTCTAGATGTTAAATGACAAAAATGATAGTTTGAGACTAAATTTAAAATTGTCGCCAAAGACGGCTTCCGCCAGAATTAACTCTATAATTAGTTATAATTAAATTATGTTTCAATTTTTTAATACATATTTATGTTAATTCTTCCTCTCCCAAAAGGTTAAATCCCCAACTCCAAGACCCCCACACCAGACCTGACAGAGTATTTGGGAGAATGTAAATCACAGTGACTCAATGGCTCGTAGACATGACCAAATGTTGGTGCGCATAAGGGATCTGTCCACTTTGGGCATAATTTCAAGTTAGGCCATGCCAGTCAAGATGAAATGCTTATTCAGATAGGGAAGGTGGGAGGGGGGCATAAAGTTGATCTATGGTGCGTTTGGAAAGTAAGAAAATGACTTCTAGAAAATGAGTCATTTTCATTTCCAGTGTTTGATTGCATTCTGGAAAACTGTCTCGGTGTATTTGGTTTATTTTCTGAAAAATAAGTAGAATTGTATAATTAAATATTTTAATTATTTTATGTAGAATATAACATGTATAATAATATATAGTAATATAATAACAATTTTAAATATAATAAAGAAAAATAACAAATAAGATATCAAAATAAGTAACCAAATTCTTGCAATTAAAAACAACAACAACAACAACAACAACAACAATAATAATAATAATAATAATAATAATAATAATAATAATAATAATAATAATAATAATAATAATAATAATAATAATAATAATAATAATAATAATAATAATCTATATATATATATATATATATATATATATATATATATATATATATATATATATATATATATATATATATATATATATATATATATATATATATACTAATAAGAGCCCAAGAGAGTTAGGCCTATAATGGGTAGAAAAAATGGTGGTCAAATTTTTTAATCAAATGAATGGCTCAGATTGATCAGATTTTTATTTTTCCTTGAGATTTCCTAATTTATCCTTAATGAATATGATTATCCGTTAACTTTTCCGTTAATTTTTGTTAGTTCATGTTAACTTACTCATTGATTTCAATAAGCAAGGTCTTAGGTTCGAACCTCATCCAAATCAAAGTTGGCATAATTAGTATTCTATTTTACTCATATTAAATTAAAAATAATAATTTAGTAGATACAACAAAAAAATAATACATAGGCATTTCTTTAATTTAGAATTATGTGTCTACAATGCCTTTACTCAAAAACAAATTATTCATTATCAATAAATTAAATTAGAGAAATAATTTCATTAGTTATATTGTCTTTATTTTTCCCCAATATAAAAATTCTTTACATTCAAAGTTCAAATTCATTAATTGATTATATTCGCTACATTGTCCCTACAATGTCTTTATTAAAAAAAATTATTCATTATCAATAAATTAATTAAGAGAAATAATTTCATTAGTTATATTGTCTTTATTTTTTTCTCCAATATAAAAATTATTTACATTAAAATTCATCAATTGATTATATTCGCTACATTGTCCCTACAATGTCTTTATTAAAAAAAAATATTCATTATCAATAAATTAATTAAGAGAAATTATTTTATTAGTTATATTGTCTTTATTTTTCTCCAATGTAAAAATTCTTTACATTCAAATTCATCAATTGATTATATTCCCTACATTGTCTTTTATCTTTTTTTTGCACTATTTTTTAACTAAATATCAAAGTTATATTACAAAATAATGCTATATATTTATTTACCAAGTATTTTATTAATACCATGAAAAAAATTTTAAAAAAAAATTAATAAAGTCAATCATATTAACTACTTGAGGGATTTGTTGACAAAGAGAGTTTCAAATCACACAACAAATTGAAGTGAGAACTACCTCGCAATGTCCTTGCTTGACAATCAGCAGTTAGCGGTTAGCGTTTGTGGATTTGACCAGCGAATTATATCAACGATTGGTAAAAAGATATTTGATAAAATTAGCTGTTTAGATTAACATGTAAAATGACCTAAGGGTATACATATATTTAATAATAATAATAATAATAATAATAATAATAATAATAATAATAATAATAATAATAGTTGTTTTAAAAAAATATAATTGAGCCAATCATATTAACTACTTGGGGGATATATTGGCAAAAAGAGTATTCAAATCACACAACAAATTGAAGTGGAAAACTACCTCGCAATGTCCTTGGCAATCAGTAGTTAGCTCTTCAATATTAGTATATATTTAATATTTTATGCCCTAATTTTTATTTGATCTCCCTTATGTTCCATATTTGATTTCAACCATACCTATACAATTATTTTATTGACAATTATAATCAACCTTGACTATATTATCTTGCATTTGTAAACTTAGAATTACATATTTAAATACGCAAATTCAACATTCAATTATCTATGCATGAACAATTCCAATATAATATTGTCTTTGATATACTTTAAAGTACTTATTTAAAAAAAAAAAAAAAAAACAAACATTAAGGCATTATCCCAATCGCGCAATGTGCGTAAAAAACTAGTATAATAATAATAAGTGGTATAGTGGTGGTGGTGGTGGTGGTGGTGGTGATAGTGGTATAGTGGTGGTGGTGGCGATAGTGGTATAGTGGTGGTAGTGTGGTGGTGGTGGCATTGGTAATAGTAATGGTAATGGTGGTGGTGGTGGTGTAGTGGTAGTGGTAGTTGTGTTATTTGTTATATAATAATAATAATAATAATAATAATAATAATAATAATAATAATAATAATAACTGGTTCCTTCAAAAAAAAATACTACGTAATAATAATAATTCGTGGTGGTATGCCGGTGGTGGTGGCCGGGGTGGCACGGTGGTATGGTGGTGACGGTGTTGGTGTTGGTGGTGGTGGTGATAATGGTAGTGAGGTGGTGGTGGTATGGTGCTAATGATGTTGGTAGTGGTGTGATGTTGGTGTAAAAGTTGGTAGTGGTGTGATGTTGGTTTAAAGATGGGAAGTCATTTTCGTCCAAAACAAGAATATTTTTCAAAGTCAACGGAAAATAATTTTCCAGGCACATCCAAACACTGAAAACCCAGAAAATGTTTTCCAAAAATCATTTTTCGCCAAACGTTGGGGTTCATTCTTCCAATACGAATAACGTTATAGTAATTAATAAGCGTATTACAGTTATTACAATATTAATGTGAACTACTTTTAAATAAATCATGCCATGAATTGACTACAAAAATCTTATAAGCTTTGAAACCCCACTTTGAAAAAAAACAGAAAAGAGAATAATTTACAAGCTTTGAAACCCCACTTTGTTTGATTATCAAAAGAGAGGAAGCTCACAGCACTAAGTTTTGCAAGTCACATTTCTTACCACCGAGCTGAAAAAAAAAAAAAAAAAAAAAAAAAAAAGGATAAAGAAAGCAAAAAAAAAAAAAAAAAAAAAAAAAAAAAAAAAAGAGGTCATGACTTGCTTTAACCCATGTAATTATTAACATGAATTGTCACAATACTTTTACATATATTAAAAGTTTTATTGAACATAACACTAAAAAATAAATATTTTCTTTAAAAAAAAATTCTTGTAGAAAATATGGAAAAGAAAAAAGAAGAAGATTTGATTGAGGCAGAGGAGTAACAACTCATAATTTTAAATTGATAGGTTCTCCATTACATATTCAATTTTTCCATTACAAATATTTTAAAATTTTTAATAGATTCTTTCTAAATACTTCTAAAGTAAATTTTTAAAATTGTCACAATTGCAAGCGATGGCCACCCAGTTACAAAAGATAAGGTTGCATTTGAGATGAAAACAACACTTCCTCGGAAAGTATTTCTTCGGATCAGATTTCTTACAACACCTGCAGAATAAACACTTTGAAAAATCATCTAGTGGTCGTCGCTCAAAGACATCGTTGATATCTCTTAACTTTATTTTTGTTTCAACAACTGGCACTAGCATTTCTTTTGACTCTTCTATCATTAATAAATTGAATGAAGATTTCTCAAATGGTTCAGCACCTGAATGCATTGTGTCACAATTGTATGTTACAATATAAATATAATTTAATACATACCTTTTGCCTCTGTTATATTAAATGAAATAATAAATATGGTCACCTGCAGCAATGACCAAGGAAAAAACTAAAGCCAACATGGATAACGTTGTTGTTGGATTCATTCTTTCAAAAGGCTGAATCCCAACCCTAAGTAATTATAATTTTCACAATACGAATAACGTTGTTGTTGGATTCATGCTTGTTTACATAGTAGATAGAAAGTAAGACGCGAAGAGGGTAGTATAGAGAGAGTAGGATGTGGGAAATATAATAAAGTATATTTATAAGATTTTTGTAGTCAATTCATGACATGATTTATTCAAAAGTAGTTCACATTAATATTGTAATAACTGTAATACGCTTATTAATTACTATAACTTGTATTAATATGTTACTGGTTCTATATTCTATTATACTATAATACGCTTATTTTTTTTTTTTTTTTGAAAATCTATAATACGCTTATTAATTACCATAATTTGTATTAATACCTTACAAGTCAACAAACTTTAATACACTCTTTTTAAATTTTGAATGCACTATCAAACTTATCAAATACCATCCAAAATTCTTAATAACAACGAAAATATCACAATTTTTTTTTTCAATCCTCTCTCCCCACCCATCTCACCTATTTTCTAGTCTAGTTATTGATCAATCCAAATGGATGAGATTAATCATCATTTTTTATGCATGGAAAGACATGTTATATATATATATATATATATATATATATATATATATATATATATATATATATATATATATATATATATATATATATATATATATATATATATGGTTGAGTTCATGTGAGGACCACAATATATAGAGGACTGTACGGACTGATTACGGGCACACGATAAATCAGTATCAGGAACACAACTTAATACACAATGACACACAAGAATATATGTAAACATCAGGTTTCGAACCCAGACTCTATTAATTAACAAACCTATGCACACGGCATACAAATTATGGCACACAACTACATTTGGTCATGCACATGACATCCTAACTATAATAAAGCTATATGGTTTGGGAAGTAATTAATGTTACAATTAATGCCACAACATCCTTTATTATAAAAAATAATAATAATAAAGCACAACATTTGAAAAATAAAATAGCTATATATTATATAATCATATAAAAAATGTACTTTTGAAAAATAAAATAGCTATATATTATATAATCATATAAAAAATGTGGTCAATTAGAGTTTAAATTTACTCATACAAAATTTGAAATTTGCTTTTCAAATGTAATTATCTTAGTGATTATTCGTATTGTGAAAATTATAATATAGATGAAATACAATTAAGAATAAATCAATGTAATTATGTAAATTCTCTCTATAAGTTTATTTGAATATGCACATAATTAGAGATTATATTAACCATACAAAATTTTAATTTTAATTTTAATTTTAATTTTAATTTTGTATTCTATAAAAATAATAAATACTTGACCAATGGAAGCTCAAAAATATTATTATATTAAACAATTTAAAATAATAATTTTACTTACCCATGCACGGGTGAATTACAAGTACAAATTAATAGCACACGACTACATCAGTCCTCACGGTCGGTTCTTTATGATATAGTGGTCCTCATTTGAACTCAACTATATATATATATATATATATATATATATATATATATATATATATATATATATATATATTAAGGATCAAATGAGGACACTGATTCGGAAAGATTATAAAATGTTAGAATTTAATTCAACAAAGAGATAAAATGCCAGAACTAAAGGAAAGACTCTAAAACGATTCGGATGCATACATATAAACTGGATGTTGGCTATAAACCACAATGAACTTAAAACATTTCAGATGGAGCAAAATAAAGGCTCAGATTTCAAGCAATTGTACGAGATTTGAAAAGTTATGCATCATTGGAATTATAAGAATGAGAGGTTTAGTAGTAAGGCACCTGTTCCGTCAAGCGAGAATGAAACCTTCTTTGGTTGGAAACACTTTTTGACAAACAAAGCGGTTCCAGCATATTTTGAATCAGAAAGAGACCACCAAACATCATAATTTTTGAATGGTGGCTGGACTTGATAAGGCACGCATCACTATCTGTAGAATTGAGTGAGAGGAGAAGTTGTCGGTGGCTTTGGTCTTCAATGGCTTTTCCAAATCGGAGTGAACAAGAAATGACGAATTTGCCCCTTCCAATTATGTTTAATTATTGACTTAAAATTTCCCGGTCACTACTGGGTGTTTGGTGGGGACTTGACTCTTTTCTAAAGGGGTTTTTTGGACACTACCAAGTTGCCGGCTAAGGCGAATGACACTTACATTGTTCTAATACCGAAAAAGCCTAGCCCCGTGTCTATGAAGGACCTTCGACCACTAGCTCTGTTCAACGTAATCTATAAGGTGGCGGCTAAAGTTTTTGCTAATAGAATGAAGACACTGCTTGATGGCTTGATCTCCCCTTCGCAGAGTGCATTTGTTCCGGGGAGATTAATTACTGACAATATAATGCTAGCATATGAAGCCCATCACTATCTTAAGCGTAGGAGACAAGGTAAGGAGGGTGTTGCGGCTTTGAAGGTGAACATGAGCAAGGCGTACAATTGGGTAGAATGGCGGTTCTTGCAGGCAGTTCTTTTGAGAATGGGGTTTGTACAGAAATGGGTTGATATCATTATGGAGACTATGAGTTCTGTAAGCTATCATATACTCCACGAGCAGGCACAGCTCGGCCCCGTAGTGCCCGGGAGGGGGCTCAGGCAGGGCAACCCGCTTTCCCCATACCTATTATTGGTAGTGGCCGAAGGTCTGAGTGCTCTCATTAAACATAGGGTGAGACATGGACTCTTGCATGGGGTAAGAGTAGCTCGTGGTGCGCCATCTATAACACACCTTCTTTTTGCAGATAACTGCTTCTTGTTCCTTCGTGCAAACAGTGTGGAGAGTACGCAGATGAAGGAAGTGTTGGACAAATATGCATCTGCTTGGGGCCAATGTGTTAACTATGAAAAGTCAACTGTTTGTTTCAGTGATAATGTTGCTCAGACTTGCAGGAGGGAGGTGATATATTGATATTCTGGGAGTGGAGCACGGAACTGCTACCGGGAAATACCTTGGGTTGCCTTCTTTGGTGGGTCGGAATAAAAAGATGATCTTGGGCTTCTTGGAAGAAAAGATTTTGTGTCGCGTGCGTAGCTGGAATTCTAAATTCCTCTCACGAACATGGCGTGAGGTTCTTTTAAAGAATGTGCTACAGGCAATGCCGTGTTATGCCATGATTGTTTTCTTATTGCCAATTGGGTTATGCAACGAAATTGAGTCTATTTTGAACAGATATTGGTGGTCTGGCACGGTCACTGGTGGTAAAGGTATTCGATGGAAGTCTTGGACTAAGTTGTGCATAGAGAAGGAGAGAGGAGGGTTGGGCTTTAGACGTCTGAGGGAGATGAATCTATCTCTCTTGGATAAACAGGTTTGGAGGCTCCTCACTCGTACTGATTCCCTTGTGGCCAAGGTATATAAATCACGCTATTACCCCAATTGCTCTCTGTTTGAAGCATCTGTAGGCAGCAATCTTTCATTCCTGTAGCGGGGAGTGGTGGAGGCTATGAGAGCGATGAAGGATGGCTGCTCGAAACGGTAGAGGCACGCAGATTGGTGATCCGTGGCTCCCTCTCTCGGATAACCCATATGTTACCACGGAGTTGCATGGCACTATTAAATCAGCACCGGTCTCCTCTTTATTCGCCATGCATGAAGCAAAATGGGACGCAGACTGTGTGAGGGATGTGTTCAACGCACGGGATGCAGACGCGATCCTTAATATACTGGTAAGCTTACGAAACCTCCAGATAAATGGGTATGGGGTGGGGACCCTAAGGGCGTTTACACGGTAAAATCATGCTATAGGAAGTTGGTAGGAGAGTTCACGGAGAATAATCCTTGGCACCTAATTTGGAATCTGCAGGATCCACCAAGGGTCAGAATTTTTTGTTGGCAACTCGCAATGACAGTTCTACCCACCTGTGAATCTGTGATGCATTGTCTATGAAGCGCGTAGCGTGTAATCTGTTGTGTCATATGTGAGGGGAGGTAACTGAGACAACTCACCACATGTTCATACAGTGCCCGCAGATTGTTTCTATTTGGCAGGCATTCGGCTTACCTTCTGGAGCTATTAACCAAGGTACTGTGCGAGAATGGCTTTTTACATTATTATCTAAGCTAAATGGTGAATTAAGGTGTCTGTTTGTGATGATTTGTTGGGGGTGTGGAATAGCAGAAACAGTAGCGTGTGGAATGCCAAAGCTTTTGACTCCAAAACAATGGTGGATTCAACGGTTATGTTTTGGAGGAATTGGAAGGCAGCGAATGAGCAGTCGGAGGATGGTGTTGATCACGACGGACCTGACGTTGCACGCTGGAGTGCCCCTACCATAGGTCGACTAAAGTTAAATATGGATGCGACATTTGGTGCAGATGGCAACACGATGGGAATGGGTTGGGTCCTACGGGATCATGGTGGAAACTTTTTGGCTGTCAAGGGACTATCTAAACCAGGAAACTATGTTGTTGAAGTAGCGGAGGTGCTCTGTATTCGCGAGGCGCTAAGCTGGTTAAAGAACACTGGGATGGGAGATGTGGATGTAGAAACAGACTCTCAATTGGTTTTTTATGCTTTACACTCGGAACTCGTTTTATTCTTCTTTTGGTTTAGTTGTAGATGATAGTAAAGAAGTGGCAACCTCTATACATGGTGTCGACTTCTGTTTGTTAAGCGATCTGCGAATCCTGTTGCCCACGATGTTGCTCGGGAAGCCGTTTCTGATTCGGGTTGCGGGGAGTGGTTTGATAACCCTCCTCCTTATCTGGTTAATTGTATCCTCTCTGATTTAATGCATTAAGTTCTTTCTTCAAAAAAAAAAAAAAAAAAAAAAAATTCGGTCACATTTGACCGGCGTGACTAAAATTGATAAAAATTGCATAGTTAATGTACTAAATTAATAGTTTTGAAAGTCAGGTGTTACAATTAACACAAGTTCAATAGTCAGTGGACCAAAATAGAAATTTACTATATATTTGGTAATGTATGTTGATTTATGCTGATTGAATGATGAATTGGGTGCATGTTGGTTGATGAATCATTTGGCACAATTAATTAATTACTAATCTTGTATGAATAGCACTGCTTGTCATACGACATATCCTAAGGCACATGTTTTCATGAAAATATAATGTTGAAATTTTTATCCAGTTTGCATGAAATTGTATGTGTGTAGTTTTGACAAATAATTGCCAAAGGGAGAAATGCGAAATAGTATATTGGCAATTTTATTTGTTAGTCTAAATTAATTAAAGTTTAGTTAGTTGTTGTATTAATTAATTTGGGGAGATTATGTCAGAAATAAGTTTTTTTTTTTTTGAAGCGGCTCGATCTCATGACCTCCCACATGAGAGAGGTCACTACATGCCATCTGAGCACAAGGTGCTTAGCAAAATATATTCAATTATAAATTGGAGAAAATTCAAGAGTTCAAATGCTGAAGAAAAAGAGATTTAAATGTCACCTCTTATCTCCCTGCTGTTTTAGTCTTATTTCCGTTGTTTTACATGTGTTAATTCTATTGAATATTTCAACCTTCTTTATTTTGTAAATGGCTATCTAGCTCAAAGCTATGTTGTAGTCTGGTCTTGTTCACGGAAGAGTATCCTTTAGATAGGTCAATGATAGGTGGAGTAGTACCAACTCAGGAGGAGATGATGATGAGTGGTTGGTATAGTAGATTAGGCCATATAAGTTGTATGAAAATATGTTGAACCTTGTAACATCTTTGATCATCTAGTGGAGTTGGGTTCACCTGTGTGTGGTCCCGCAGGCGTAGGAGTGTTTTGGTTCATTTTACTTTTCATGCACTGTTTTTATTGTTTATTCTGTTTCTAATACAGTATTAAACACAGATGGCTAATTCGTTCTAAAAATAAGTAGAAACCGATTAGGTTTTATCCTGCATTCAAGATTCACAATTTTTAAATATATTCAAATCTTATCATCCTTTGAACATTTCGTTTGTTGTTTGATGAAGAAATCAGCGAACCTGATTGCTTATACATCGCAAATTATATCGTGCACCGCGGTGCATGATCGATCATGCACCGCGCATCAAAACAACGTCGTTTTGTTTAATGAAAAGAAACAGAATCTTCGCAAAAAATAACTCTGTTCTTCAGTTTCACTTTGTATACACTGCAGTTTCTGTTCAACACAACTACAGTTTCATTTCGATATAACTACAGTTTCATTCAATATTTATACACTCAAATATGTGAAAATGTTATTTAATTTTATTTTATATACACTATAGTTTCATTAAAACACAACTACATGATCATTTCAACATAATTACAACTTCATTGTACAATAAACACTCAAATATGTGAAATGTTATTAAGTTTCATTTTATATATATTGTAGTTTCATTTCACCACAACTACAGTATCATTTTGATATAACTGCTGTTTCATTTGAGAATATAAAAATAATACGTGAGACAGTGTTGGTTTAGACACACTGTAGTGTCACTCCCTTATAACTGCAGAAACGTCGTTGTTTTGACGCGCGGTGCACAGTCAATTATGCACCATGGTACACGATATAACTAGGGTGGCAGGCTCTCAATCTGAGTCTAATAGTCCCCTCCATCATGTTTGCCCAACGGGCTGATGGGTAGCCAATATGGCTACTTAAACCAAAAAAAAAAAAAAAAAAACTAGGGTTGATCTTCATTTGCGCTGTGCAATTCTACTCCCGCTTCAAATTTCACTTCCTTGCAGACCGCAGTTCAGCCGCCTCCATATCGCTGCACCGCCTGCACGCCTCACGCCTCACACCTCACGCCTGCACCATTGCTACATAAACAGAGTATTTACTACAGTCTACAGGACTAGTGCGTCAATTAAACATCCACGACCTCCCTTCTGAAATCCGAATCATCAGCCGCAGCCATTAACAGCGGTGGGTGAATGCTTTCAACCTCATCATCAATAGCATTAGCCATTCCTAGAGATTTCAGTGCCAAATGCGCCGCCTTCTGCCCTCATAGGCTCATACCATCATCGCTCCAAACTCGCTGCATCACATCATAATTCAAACTACATAATGTATGCTTACTTCACTTACTTCCTTAATTCAAAATTCTCACTTCTTAGTGTCTCGCTTGCTATTAATCAAAACCTTAAACCCTAATCCCTAATCCCTAATCCCTAAATTCCTAATTTCTTTAATCCCCCAACATTTGCCCCCATTGAAAGCCGAGAGTGCATGCTCTGCGTTTCTCACTTAACTACTTTATATAATATTTGTAAAATCCAGAGTGTTTACTATATTTTTCCTCAATTCTCCGTGTTACTTTCAAAATTGATTTTCGCCCCTATTTCACTATTAAAAGACCGTATATTTTGGTATCTTTAATTCATTCTTTGTTTTCTTCTAATACTAGACTTCTTGGGAATATGAAATTGGACACTTTTGTATGATAGGGAGGAAGATGAAGGATTAGGATTTTGGTATATGTATAGTTAGTTAGCTGCAGTTGGATCATTTTAAATTTGCTTTTCTATTTTCATTGATTGTATTTTCGGTTGTTTTGATATTACTTTTTTGAGTTAGAGATCACATGGTGTATAAGTATCTATTTCTTGAATTGGGCTTTTGACTGAATTGGATTAGTTACAGGGATTGTAGCCTTTTTGAGGAGCAATTGTGGAATGAAGGAAGTCTCTCTTATTTATTATTATTTTTTTTGGTAATGTTTTGCACCTCTCTATTGTTCATATTTGTTCGTGATCCTTTTTGGTTAAGGAAATTCCAAAAGGTTCTGCGGTCATTCGTGTGTAAAAATGCAAAATGGTGCACTGTTGGATTATAATGGTACTGGTTGTGGGATCTAGGTTGTTTTTGAAGCATTTTCAGGCAATTTACCTTGGGGTTTCTAAAGAATGCAAAATATGCAGTATCACTAAGGAATGCAAAATATGCAGAATCACTGATCTTAAACGGAAGAGAATTCAAATTGTGTTAAGATGTGTGATGGAAATGGAATTTTCAAGCCAATGCTAATGCAAATTACTTTTGTAAATGTCAGTTAATTTGATTCATTGGGTTGTTATATTTATTCTGTAGTTTCTATAGATACAGTTTTAGTTGCATACTTTTCCCACTTTTTTGTTTCTTTGTTTCAATTCTATAGCATCAATGGTTCACTTTTATTCTTGTGTATATATGTTGGTGTATAAATACCTCCTCTGTTTGCAAAATATGCATAATCACTGAGAATTTTGGGCTTTGATATCTAAAGTGAAATTGAGCAACATTTAGTCTACACACCATTTGGGATTTTTTGAATGGAGTGTAATAAAGATGAAGCCATTATGGCAAAAGATCTTGCAAATCTTAGTTCAAGTATCCTTTCTTGTCTTTAGAACTGCTATATTTTTCTTAGCTGTGATGTTTATACACATATACGACAAAAGATCTTGCCTTTAGAACTGCTAAAACTCTATTACCATATAGTGGTTCTTGAAATTTAAAGGTGTATGCAATATCATCATACATATAATGGTTTTTAATTGCAATCCTGTTAAAGTTTTCAGTATACCTCTATATAAGAAACTATTTGATTACTGTATCTAGATTTGAACTATTTACTTGGAAACAATCAGAGGAGGTTCTGTTGTAAATTAGGTAGCTATAAATGCCTTTCTATTCAAGTGTTCACTGTTCCTATATGTGTACTTTGAAACTTAAATTATTAGTGAAAACAAATACTCTGTAAATAATTATTTGTACTAGAAAAATAGGAAATGTTGGGATTCTCTAACCGAACTGAAACTGAACTTTTTCAAACTGAACCGAAATTGAACTTTTTCTAACTAAACCGAACTAGAATGTTAAACCAAATAGTTTCATTTTTTCGAAACCGAAAAAAACCGAGCCAAACTCAAGCATAAATTTTAAAGCTCCATCGAGCTCGAGCCACTATAAATTTATCAAACTCAAGCCACTAATTTATGTTGTTTTGTGTTTTTTAAGTCTCTGCTGGATTGACTTCAAGAAGGGGGGAAAAGAATAAGAACCCATGAAAGGAGGAAGAAAGAATTTGAAGAGGGCTGCGAAAGAAAAAACTGCAATCCTTCAACAAGGCCTAAGCATTATGCAAGTAGTTGACCTCCGTGGCTCCAATCTAATCGAGGTGACTCTCCTTCTCCTTCTCCAACTCTCTCTCTCTCTCTCTCTCTCTCTCTCTCTCTCTCTCTCTCTTTCTACACACACACACAATATTTGCATATATGTATGCTTTGTGTATTTCATGGTTCTAAGTTAAATTATTTGAATGTAAAGGTAATGGATGCAAATGGTGAAAAGTCATTAGCAATTTTCCCAGCTAAGTTTCAAAAGAGCATGTGGATTAAAAGAGGTTTGTTCTATTAAGAGAATAGCTTCTGCATGTATATCAATTTTTAGCTTTTATTTTGGGAGGAAAGTGAAAGTGAATATGAAGTTTTGATTTGTAGGTTCTTTTCTTTTCTGGGAATGAATAGGGAACTTTGTTGTAGTCGATGAGAGTGGGAGAGAGGAGGCTATGGAGTCAGGTAGAAAAGTGGGTTGCATTGTTACACAAGTGCTCTTCTATGATCAAGTTCGTGAGTATCAAAAGTCTCCAGAATGGTGAGTGCTTTAAACTAATGCAGTTGTTTCAATACTTTTTCTCTGTTTGCATCTTTTATTGGAACTTTTTTTAAAACAATGACATCTTTTTTGCTTGCGTAATTGAATTATGCCATTGAATGCAACACGCTTGTTCTAGAAAAGGCTTTTATTTATAGAGATGAAGACATGGTTTTTATAGTTACATTGAGAAATTATTCTATGCTTCGGAATGTCGCGTTTATTGTGATGTTTCAAAGCAGGCCTGAAATCTTCAAATCTGCAGCAGTAGAAACTTCAAGCGAAAATTTTGTGACGCACACTTGTCAGGCACAAGATATTGAAAACTTGAGCGATGATGACGGACTTCCTCCATTAGAAGCCAATACCAACAGACTAAAGCCTTTCCAATCAGAATCAGAGACAGAATCGGATTCCGAGGTTGATTCCTGATTTGCAATTCCAATCTAGGGACTAGCACCCGCAGGCTCAGGTCACCCCCCACCCCCAACAAAATTTTCACTTCGGATCTGGGGAACAATATAATTCATTGCATGAACAAAGATTTTTTCGAATGCCGTTTGTTGTTTGTAAATGTTACTATTGAAGCTGGTGGAAATTAGAATGGTAAACTTGCTCATAGGGAGAGTGCCTAAACCTCGACATTTTCGTTATTGGATTAATTCAATCTAGAATCGAGAATGTCTTCTTTCTCAGTTTTGACAAGCTTATATCATCATTTGTTCCTGAATTATGTTTCACATCTTTTTGGATGTTAGAGGGGAGTTTGCAAACACTACATAACACTGTGCATTAAGTAAATCTTGCCTTGTGACTTTAATTAGTAAAGGATCACAAAGAGATAAACTAACTTAAATTGTCAATTTTTATCTTTGATTATTTGGAAAATAAAAGAGTAGAAGACATTTTTTGTCCTAGACTTATAGTGATTTGGATAATTTTAGTCTTCCATAAAATATTTTTGCCACACTTTTTTGTGACGAGGACAATTTTGATCCTCTGTCAAAATTTCCATCTGTTGACCTTTTAAATGAAGGGCATTTTTGTTATTCAATGTGTTGTTCTCAAGCTCAGGAAAAAGTGCGTTGTAGAAAATTATTTTTAGCCGCTGATCTCTCAAGATCAGTTTATAATCATAGATAGCCATTCCAGTTGTTCCAGTTGCCAACTGGACGTCGAAATTGAACTGTGTAGCTTTTCCCAGAGTTTTAGACATCTATTGATACAGTACATCTGCAAGAACCTTGCAGAAATGCACAAAATAATGAAGCTCCGTCGTCCTATATCAGCAGTGATGGGCAGAATCAGTAAAATTAAAAATAGGACATGGTGGGGAAAGGGGAGGGGGTCATTGTGTGTCACAGAATAAACACTGATTCCTTCGCAAAATAAACAAGTGATTCTTGAGAGTTGGATTCCAGAATGCAACTCTTACCTAAAATGAAGGCAAAAAATTCAATGTAATTAAGGGAGTGTTTCCTCCATTTTAACAACTGTGTAAAATATTCAAAGCTTTGTATATATGAAATAGGTATGGGCGAGTCTATAACACACAGATAGATGAGGGGTATCCCAACTCCTTCTCGAATCTTGATCTCTGCTGACGGAAAGAGGAGTTCCACTGATCCAAAGAATGCAACAAAAGTAATGGCTATTAGTATCTTCTTCCACACAACGACCATCACCATTGTCATCAAGCAAGTTGTCACGAACATAACAGTTGTGACCGTCAAGCCTACAAAAGCCTCGGGAAGCAATTTGCATTAAAATTTTTTTGCATAGGTAGCAATTTAATAAGCTAAACAATAGCTTAGAGCTATATCATAAGCAGCTCCAATATTGTTCGTGTCCCTTAATTAATCCAATAATAACAACGAAATAGAGGCAATATAATAACAAATTTAATCTCTATATTGTTTTACTTTTAATCCATATTATAATGTATATCCGCACCAGCATCAGAAGCAGCTAGAGGATTTCCTCGACGAGCGGCATTGGTTCGCTACTCCGACAGCCAGACGGAGACTCAAGACTCGTCGCTCACCCACATCTCCACCTCTGCAGCGGCCCTACTTTAACAACCGGTAAGATTTGCAGTTCATACCAGGAATTCAGACCTTATCCACAAACTCCAACTCTAACGTCGACGACTCTGCCTCCGTCCCGTGGACTCAGGCCATCGCCACCGTCGAGTTCACCGGCTATTCCATTGACTCTGTGAACGCCCTTCGCAACTCCCAACTCCCCACCGAAGCTCTATCTCTCGCTATTAACCCCCAGACTACCAAAAATGCCATTGTTTCTGTCGACTCGACACCCCCAAGAAAATCCCCGACACCTTCGACAAATGGAGACGATGAGAGAAATCAGAGAACCAAAGAGATTAATTAGGGATTTCAATTTATAATATAAATCTTTTTATTATTAGATTAATTTTTTTATTTATTGAAATCAAGAACAAAACACGCAGAGATATAATATATAGAAGGAGATAGGCTGAATTGACGCAAATACCCCTTCTCAGACGGTTAACATACGAAAATTTTGACAGAGGACCAAAATTGTCCTTGTTACAATAAGTATGGCCATAAATTGGCAAATTTTTTTTTATAGAGGACTAAAATTGTCCGTACCACTATAAGTCTAGGACCAAAAATGTTTTCTACTCAAAACAAAATATTATTTTTTCCTTCTTTATTTAGATGTTAAAAAATGGTAGAAGTATTAAAAGCGTTGAAATTGTAATTCATCATAAACCCTAATGCTACACGACCGCTGTAGATTCAGCACTAACGAAAGGATTCACGACAACCCCACTATAGTACTTTAGCACACAAAGTGATCACCCCAGTTAGGCCAACAATGACACTTTCTCCGACATGGCAACAAATATTTTTTTACCTATTCATTTTATTCTTAGACTTCTGCATCTATTTTTTGTAAGGGTGAACGGTCAGGTTCGATTCGAAAAACTGATAGGTAACAATTTTTAGAACTGAACGGTTCGGTTGAATTTGGTTTAACCGTTGGGTTTAATTTTTTCTTTTTTTAATAATTTTATCTATAATAAAGTCAGATTTATTGATCTATGCTGATGGATAGAGGAGTTCCACTGATCCGAAGAATGCAACAAAAGTAATAGCTGTTAGTATCTTCTTCCACACAACGACCATCACCATTGCCATCAAGCAAGTTGTCACGAACATAACAGTTGTTACCGTCAAGCCTACAAAAGCCTCGGGAAGCAATTAAAAATGAAACAGAAATATTTCAATAATAATATATACATCATCAATTAAAAATGGAACGAAAATTAAGTAAAAAATATCACTGCATTTGATATTCTAAGTTTATTGAAAATAAAAAAGAATAATTGGCTGAAAATGAATCCGATATTACTAATTGACTAAAATATAAAAGGATCACTAATTGAGTGATATTCTACTATTATATATTTTCACCTGAGTAACCCGTCCTGATGGACTGAAGGTGTTAGCTTTAGATGAGGATGGACATGCAAGATTGTGTTGGCACTACCAACGTCCTCTACAAAGAGGTTTCAATAATGTGTAAATACAATCATTGATATTATGTTTTTTTTTTAAATGACAAAATTGCTATATATCTAGACAAAAAAAATATATCTTCCATATATACAAATGAATTAAGATAGCAATGCATTGCTATAACTGAGTTGCTAAAGAACGACACATTTGCCTAATTTATAAAAAAATTCTAAACAATGATAAATAAAATCTCCAAAGTTGCAGCCCTGCATGCGTACATCTACACATTAGCTATTGATTTGAGCAATTATAAAACATCAAAACACATAAAGCGAAGGGGGTCTCCGCGGTCGCCCTACGGGGAATCGTTCGATAGGTCCACAACACCTTCTCTAACTGTTCGACCCATGTGCCACCCAACTCTTCTAGCTTCTTTCGCAACTCGTCCAGTAAGGTGCAGTTCAGGTTTTCAATCTGCCTGTTCGCCTGGCAATATCCTTCATCTAAGGCCATTCGGCCTGATCTTGGGAATCCTGACGGGGAGCGGGCACCTGGGCGACTGTGTAAACCGAGAGCGCCTCAGTGCTCGGTCGTTGCACGCCCTCGATGCGACAAGCCATCGCCATATGAGAAGGTATGTCCCCCAGAGCCAGTTTCGACAGGATTTCAGCCTCTACATCTTCTTCCCAGGGAACGTGCACGATTTCGTGAGCATCTTACTTCTCTAGTAACCCCTCAGTTACATCCTTGTAGAGCTTTACCACACACACACTAGTATTTTATATGCGCGATGAGCAAAAATATGTACCCAATATTAGTACTTTATATAAAAATTTTAGATTTATTTAGATTTTAGATATTCATATTATTGTAAATAATAATAATAATGTAAAATATTATATATATATATATATATATATATATATATATATATATATATATATATATATATATATATATATATATATATATATATTTATTTATTTATTTATTGATCTCTGCTAACGGATAGAGGAGTTCCACTGATCCAAAGAATGCAACAAAAGTAATGGCTGTTAGTATCTTCTTCCACACAACGACCATCACCATTGCCATCAAGCAAGTTGTCACGAACATAACAGTTGTGACCGTCAAGCCTACAAAAGCCTCGGGAAGCAATTTGCATTAAAATGTTTTGCATATGTAGCAATTTAATAACCTAAACAATGGCTTAGGGCTATACCATAAGCAGCTCCAATCTTGTTCGTGTCCCTTAATTAATCCGATAATAACAACGAAACAGAGGCAATATAATAACAAATTTAATCTCTATATTATTTTACTTTTAATCCATATTATAATGTATATCCGCACCAGCAGCAGAAGCAGCTAGAGGATTTCCTCGACGAGCGGCATTGGTTCGCTACTCCGACAGCCAGACGGAGACTCAAGACTCGTCGCTCACCCACATCTCCACCTCTGCAGCGGCCCTACTTTAAAAACCGGTAAGATTTGCAGTTCATACCAGGAACCTTATCCACAAACTCCAACTCTAACGTCGACAACTCTGCCTCCGTCCCGTGGACTCAGGCCATCGCCACCATCGAGTTCACCGGCTATTCCATTGACTCTGTGAACGCCCTTCGCAACTCCCAACTCCCCACTGAAGCTCTATCTCTCGCTGTCAACCCCCAGACTACCAAAAATTCCATTGTTTCTGTCGACTCGACACCCCCAAGAAAATCCCCGACACCTTCGACAAATGGAGACGATGAGAGAAATCAGAGAACCAAAGAGATTAATTAGGGATTTCAATTTATAATATAAATCTTTTTATTATTAGATTAATTTTTTTATTTATTGAAATCAAGAACAAAACACGCAGAGATATAATATATAGAAGGAGATAGGCTGAATTGACGCAAATACCCCTTCTCAGACGGTTAACATACGAAAATTTTGACAGAGGACCAAAATTGTCCTTGTTACAATAAGTGTGGCCATAAATTGGCAATTTTTTTTTTATAGAGGACTAAAATTGTTCGTACCACTATAAGTCTAGGACCAAAAATGTTTTCTACTCAAAACAAAATATTATTTTTTCCTTCTTTATTTAGATGTTAAAAAATGGTAGAAGTATTAAAAACGTTGAAATTGTAATTCATCATAAACCCTAATGCTACACGACCGCTGTAGATTCAGCACTAACGAAAGGATTCA